TCCTTCGTAGCCTTTCTGACTTCATGGTCCCAACATCTGCAACATTGAAAATGCAGCATGTTCATTCTGTACAGTAACATAGTGAATTAGTGGTTATTGTTGGCTCCACATGCATGCATACAGACTTAGACTTTTGGGAGGTGTCCAACAGTGCCTCACGGTGATTTAGTACCTGTGTAGTTCCTCTCCCAGCACTTTGGACTGATCCTCTGGAAGAACCCTGTACATGTCATTTTCCTCCAACCTCCTTTTATGGCCGAGCTGCAGCAACGGGACTAACCAGCTGGAACAGAGGGTCAGAAACACTTAGGGCTGATGTCACTTAAACAGAATATGACTCACACAAGTGTCATTGTATTTTTGTATTGCTTAAGTATTCAATGGAGAGGCTAACACCATTACAGGTTGTGATGCAGATGCTACTTGCAGATACATCCTTTGACAGCAAGTGTGCTTACTTGTTTTTCTAATAGATGGGTCAGATCTGATTAGCTTTACATACATTAATCTATTAGGCTTTCAATGCATATCACACAGACTTTTCCTTGGCGCTTATTTAAGAATAAGCATTTCATTTTTCGTAAACGCTTGCCCCGAGCCTGTTTTTCAGGTCTCAGGCTCGAAAATGACATTCCCAGAACAAATGACCATATCTTCCCTTCTAAAAAGGGTTAAATTCATAATCTTTTTTCTCAAAGCAAGGTTACACCTGTGAGTTGGATGTAGAAGTGTCAGAATCAATATAGATGTTTTTATTTTAAAGTAAATTCAGATTGAACACAGTAAAAGAAAATGTAAATGATTGTGTCCGTCCAAAAAAAAAAAAATTACTTATAATGAAAACCACCCTTGAATAATGGGATGGTAGACTAAAAGCTTTAGGAATCCAAACTACAACATATAATAAGTACCCTGTATCAAGATTGATGCAAAACAAGTGAAATTTGACCTTTTTAGAGAGGTTTAGAAACAACAAAAAAACACTTCTAGGGTCATTTGGGTGGATTTGACCTATCTCTGGCCCCCCTTGCTCGATTTTGCTGATTGACATCTCTTTCTAACCGTCAGAGCCAATGGAATCGAGGGGAACTCCCACATACTCCTTATTTGGTAATGTGTGTGTGTGAGACTGACGCATAGCCAAAACCGGAAGCTGCGATAACTCTGGTGTCTACCATTAGCAGCTAACTTTTATTCTTCGATTTTTACATACAAATGGAATTATGGATTATAAATATAAAAAAATATTCCACAGAAACATTATCAACCTATGGATTAACATAGGATTAACTCACAGTGTGGGGGGGGGGGGGGGGGGGGGCTGGGGGGAGCAGAGGCATGGTTATATATATATAAAAAAAGAAAAGAAAAGATAAAACAGATAATAAATAATATGATGCAGTACAGTACTATTACCTCTGGGTCTCTGTGTTTCATTAAAGCTCGGCTGTGTGTGTGTGTGTGTGTGTGTGTGTGTGTGTGTGTGTGTGTGTGTGTGTGTGTGTGTGTGTGTGTGTGTGTGTGTGGAACGAGCCATTTTGTGTGCGAGAGCGAGAGCGAGAGAGAGCGCACCGGTACCGGAGATCGTTGTTGTTAGCTTCTGGTGCTAGCGAGCTACGCTAACGGATATAAGGAGTTTTTTCAACAACAAAGTGGAGGAGAGTCCTCTCCTGTCTAAAGGAGAGGACTATAAGCTAAAGGACTCTCTCAGTGTTATCTCAGTGGGTCTCAAACGTTTTGGTCACCATTAATGTAAACAATTATTTCCGAGGCACACGTTTATATGATCATTATAGTTATACAAAAATAAGAGAATAAATGAAAAACAGCTATGAAATACTATATGACAGTAAAACAAGAATAAAGTTTAAAAGGGTGATTTATTTGTAAAATATCCATTAAGAAAAAGTAAATCTGTTTACAGTTCTGTTTCAAATGGGTGTTGAGATGTATCCATAGATCTCTTCATTTTGCTCTCAAAGTGCACCAGATTGATGCTTTAAACTTCAATATTTAAAAATAAATCTTCCCGGGGGAACTTGCCCCCGGACCCCCCAATGTGAGGTCCACACACCACTTGTAAAAATAGCACTTTACCCCTGCTTACACCTATATGCCGTGAGCTGATTATCGAGCCTTCATTGTAACAGTTGCGGGAACATATGCGTGTGGGGAATGTTGCAGTAGAAAATTCCACGGACGATGTCTGTGTTTGCTTCCCCTGTCAAAAGTTTGGATCACTCAGTGATGATACTAATACCTAAATAATCTGTGGAACCTCAGCTTTAATCGGATATCTTGTATGTGCAGCTACGATAAGTAATAAGGGTATCTTTTATCTTGAGTTCTGTGCCAAAGTGTGTTAGCATTTTTCGCTCAGGGGTCATTTAGATGCTTCTAATGAGACTTGTGTTTTGTTTTGGTAAAAATGGTTTGTATCGTCAGTTAGCTGAGATTATTCCCGTTAATCTGGTATAACACATTAATAGGTTCTTAAATATTAAGATCCCCTGAGACACAGTGTCGTGAAAACAAATAAAATAAGTACCCGCAGAGGGGGGCTTTGGGGCTTAACAGGTTAACAACATATCTCAGAATTGTTATGTGTGCAGATTAGAATAATGTGCATGAAGACCATGAGAGGAGTGTTACACATTTCTGTCTAAAAATCTGTCTGAGGCACAGAAATGTTATGAGGGAGGAAATACCGTTTTTTTAATGTTATGTTTTAATGTGTTTTCTTTTAAGGTATTTGCTTCTTTCAGCCTTCTTTGTCTACTAACACCTTAGGGCAATGTTGGAATAAGTATTTTGACTTTGTTTCAACATGTTATCCTTTGGATACTTTAATTTCAGTGTCTGACAATCCAGAAATTACATCAACTCATTTGAAAGCTGCTCTGCAATTGGATTGTAATGGCTGTAAAATCCTAACTGATTTCCCTATGACCCCAGTCTGCTTTATACAGTAATTAATAGATTCCTTGTTTTTGACTCAACACCAGATTATTGTATGAAGGGGCGTTCAAGAAACCTGAATTATGTCAGTTAAACAGCAACTGTGCTACACGGAATCCCAGGATTTCGCACTTTGCAGCCATGTATTCCCCCTGCGGTGGGTAGGCGAGGGTCGGGAACATTTTGTGCCAGAGCCGTCAAATGTACGGAGAACTGCTTGGCTGCAAAAACTAAGAGTGCAGCATCAAGTCACTAAACAAGCGCTCCTATCTGTGTCTGCCCGCTCAACCAATATCCGGCTACTACTGACCAGGACAGGAAGTTAATCTATTCAGGAATCTGAACCAAAACACTGTGAGAGTCATGCTGATGCGGTGCACGAGGGAAAAGCATCAAGCAATACATCAATATTAAATACATCTTAAATCGAGGGTCATCTCAATGTGCTGCCGAAGCACACATGTAAACAGCTTAAAGCAACAGTGTTATACGTGAGGTGTTCTATGTAGTCTAAATAGATTAATTTTATTTATGTGAAGACAAATGTAAAATTCAATAGGAAATCAATTTAACTTATCGTTTAAATTTGTGCTAGAATAACAATGTGTAACTAGTGGAATAACGTAGTGACTGGACATTCCTAGAAGTTGCAGGAAAAATGACTTTGAATGAGTTGCAAGCGAAAAGAAAACTTGGGACAATATGATCAAATGTCAGCTTCCTCGATGGTGTCTCGGTGGGATAATAACAATGGGACGAAGATTTGTGATCTGTTTTTTGTATTATTTAAGTCGTGATTCTCCACTACAAAAGTCTTCAGGTACAAATAAGAAGTGCTTTTGAACAGTCAACAGCTGCAATGAAAACACGTTTGGATAATGACGAGAGATAACAATAGCTTACCACAGGAAGAGTTTTGATAAACAGCTGGCAGAGGACAGCGGGTTGTCGGTTTCGTCTTTTTTACTAATCTCCATGATTATTTGGCATCAGTTCTGGTGCCTGGCTGCGGCGAGACTCCGCCTCGATAGAGACGCACGCTGGAGGGTCCTCGCACACCACATGACGCTTCCCACCATCTATTCACGTCTCGTTGGCCAGAGCTCTGCTCGAGGGGCGTCATCATGTTGAATTGGAAATGGGGGACCCTGATGTAAACAAGACGAAAGTCTTTCTCTGGTCTGCATCCCCTTAACAATTGTATGTTTTGAGCTGTACTGTACTGTACCCAATATACAAGCTGTTAATAAACTTTTCAATCAATTCAATCAATCAAGTGCTGTTAGACGTATCTAAATTAGATCAACTCCACACAAAGTGCAAATGAGGGGTATTTTCTCACACTTTGGGATGTAGCGTTTTGTGCGTGGAAACTACAGAGAATGTGTTATAATAATGGATATTTAGTTTTTGTGTCCCCCAAGCTTACTTCAAATATTTTAAATGAAAGGAAACTACAAAATGTATTTTAAAGCACTGAATTAAAGAAACAGGGTGTTTTGCATTACAATGTAAAACTAAATATATATATTTTGTTTTTGTTTTATAATAATTAGTTGTCTTTGTAGTAGACAACACACATTTTTGCATGTCCTCACTGAGCATCATCACATATTCATTGAATATTAAAGAAATAACAATTGCCAATTATACCAACATTTTGATGCTAATATAATCATATGCGTGTGTACTTTAACTGAGAAAAAATAAAAGTCTGAAAAAATACATGAAATTGCACTATTGACTCTCGTCCCCCAGTTTGTTTCAACCCCGTCACGCTATACATTTTACCCCCCTATTAAAATAATGGATCAGTCCATGTGACATCTGCATTGAGTGAGTTTCAGGTCCAAGCCTACCTGCCACAGATCAAAGCTGTTTCTATTGGCTGCCCATCTGCATGTGAGCAGTCTCCCTGCATCCCTGGGCCCCAGCTGCTGCTGTGTCACATCTTGTTTACACCAGGGGCCACGGCTGTGTTTGACCTAGTTGCTGAAAAGCCCCAGAGGCAAAGTTGGAAACAAACTACACAGACACAGAAAATGTGGGGAAATTACAGAAGCCATTTTTTGGACAGACATGAAGGACATTTGTCAGTTACTTCTAGAACAATAACTGAATGGGCAGAAAGGTCAGTTCAGGTCTGGGCAGGCAGGGTTGGCATACAAAATGCATTGTTTTATTTGAATTGACCAAATGTATTATTACATTACATTTAGCTGTCGCTTTTATCCAAAGCGACTTACAATAAGTGCGTTCGACCAACAAAATACAAACTTGAAGAAAACAGAATCATATAAGTACATCAGGTTTCATAGAGCTAAAACATTTCAAGTGCTACTCAACTGGCTTTAGATAAGCCAGCCCTTTAATATATATATTATATATAAGTATTATTTATTCACAAGAAGCCAATATTGAAAAGCATAAGCTCACTGATTTTAAAAACGTCTGTTAGAGATTCAAACAAGGTGACTTGATCTCAGGTTGTCGATACATCTGTGTAAATATATGTTCACTTTATTTGAAGATGTTTTAGTGATTTTTAAATCTCATTATTTGTTTCACTCAATTCTGTAATATGTTAAATCAACTGGAAATAACACATATGATCTTTGAAAAGTAAAGCCAGATGATGTGGAGTCCATTTAAAGATGTTATCTTTCCAAAATGTGGCCAACTCCCAATATCTGAGGACTTGTGGTCCTCACAAAGACAGATGTACACAGGTCAGTGGTTGGTGATGTGAAGCAGTTTCCATTCAGTTTAAGAGTCCAGACAGAGAAGGGACCAATGTCTCCTCCCAGTTGTGTGAAGTCCCACCTTCAATGTTCAACAGAGAAGTCAGTGAGGCAGCTACTGTCATTCGCTGGGAGATTCCTGAGTCACGTCCTCGTTCTTTGGTAAACTGAGCAGCTCCTGGATCCTCTGCATGTCCTCATTGGCTTCCTCTGCCTGAGAGCCCACGTTCAGATCTCCGATCAGTTCTTCTGTCACGTTCAGTCGGTCCGTCCTTCAGGGAAAAGAAGGAGAGGGACAGGTGACTTGAGGATGACACCAACTTCGAATTAACATTTTTAGTTTTAATGCTAATATCCTATAAAAAGTGTAAAAATAATGTTAAAGTCTTCTGATATATCTCACCATTCTGCGAGTTTAAGATCGTACAGTTCACTGCGCTCTCTCCTCCTTCGGTCTCTGGAATTGTTTCCTGCCATCGACTGCATGCCGACGATCAGAGCGCCGGTGGGCAACCTGCGAGGGGGAAACGCAAATATCAAAAATATATGAGAACACAATACCAAGCAGAACACAAACCTGTATACTTCTAATGTGTGGGCACACCAGGTGATACATATATGTAATGTAACATCTATGGTTGACACTTTCCTGGACATGTCAACACTGAGGACACTGGGTCTGTAATAGATTCCTGAAACACTTCCTGCTATAGTATAATCTGTTTGCAACACATCCAGCTTTCACATGTGAGCAGCTACTTTATTTACTGTTATTTGCACCCTTGTAATAAACGAGTGGCATATCCCCTCATTGGTGTTTCACAAAGTCACGCTTCCCTCTGCCATGTGCCCCGGACGAGAGGCCGAATCTGGGCTGAGATCTGGAGCGTGATGTGCTTTACGATTAGCTGCCTGCTTTCATCTGGCGCTCTTCGGTCCCCACTGCACCTGACGGGGCCGGGGCTGTTTGCACACATCAGACGCTCCAGGTGGCCGGTCACTCAGGCAGACAGCGAGGAGGGGAGGAAGCCATGAGAGTGTGTAGCCAGCAGGAGAAACAGAGCAGGGCTGAGCCAAGTGATGATCACAGAGACGATCCAAACCAGCCCCTCCAGTCTGTTACACCATCAAACACCTCACACTCATTCTCCATTACACAATCAGATCCGCTCTTGGCTCTGTGCGGTCGGCAGAAAGCTGCCAGAGGAGCGAGTGAAAGTGGGACAGAGAGAGAAGAAAGGGTGGAGGAGAGGGGGGTGAAGCATAAGTCCAGATCAGAGCATGGTAGAGTGAGATGAGATGCTGGAATAACAGAGATGGTAGAGTCGGAGCAGGGCAGCTGCTGCCTTGGCCTGCCTCCTTGCTCTAGTACCCAGAACACGGCCCTCTGCGGTGCACATGAGTCCCTCTGGCCCCGTAAAACAGAGAAGAAGGGGGGGTGGGGGTCCAGCTGGGCGACAGAGGGTTGCTGGGAGGGACGCAGCTGGCTGCCAGAGTGCTCTCTGCTCTCAGGCACGAACGTGGACACAAGCACGAGCAAATACGCATTGCAGCCTTTGACAATGTAACTCACGTGTGAGGAACGATTTAGAAATGTTACTGTAACAGGTGGATGTGTTGGACACTTGTGGAAGCAGAAGCCTTACCCCAGTACCGTTCCGATGACGGTCCCTGCCAGCAGCCCCCCCAGGCCCAGGTTCAGCCTGAACAGACCTCCAGTCACAGCTGCTCAAACACACACACACACATCTCATCATCATCAATAACTTAATGTGCTGTTATATTTACTGTCTATGTTAAAACAATTCATCTGGTTGAATGAGGATTACAAAAGTTTCACTACTATGGTCAGTAACAAACATTCTACCAATCGTATCAACATTTGGGAAGCCGAAGATGGCATCCATGCATATTGGAAATGATTGTTTCTTTAAATAGTACAATTCAATTTTCCGGGCAGTGGATTCATGAAGTAATGCCTTTTATTTATCAATGGATGGACATTGTTATGCATTACTTACAAAACTGTAGAAGACATATGACAGGATATGAGGTGAGAGAGAGTGCAATAAAAGGCCCTCGACTTGTGAACTGGTGCCAGTAACATCGTAATGATGACTCTCAGACAGAGATGTGTGATTGTGACGAGAGCGCTCCGTCTGCTTTTCCTGCACAAATAACATAAAAACATTGCGACTCACCTCCAGCTGCGGCATAATGGCTGAGTGCGTTCTTGTCCCGGTAGACGGACAGCCCGGTGCTGACAGAACTATAGAGGTAAGGAAACAGACAAGGGAAGAGGGAGAGGAACCAAGCCATTTAAGGACATGTTGAACATGAAATTGACTGCTACACATTTAGCAGCAAGTTGTTGCCACAGAGCCTGTTAGTTTGCTCTGACTCCCGTAACTTGGAGCCAAACAAATAAACAGGCCTTTCTGGTATTTCAGTTGAGAGGAGAATAACCGGAACTAATTCATCTTTGTTGAGTTTCTTTGTAAACAACAACATGTTCATTCAATGAATAATGTGTCTGCTTACTTGAATAACGTGACGAAAGCAGCCACTCTCCAGCTCCATCTCCATCCATATCTCACAAATCCTCGGATTGCTGCATTATGGGCTGAGCGCTGATTTGGACAAAAATCAGAAGGTTGAATGTTATTACCATGATGCTATAAGATTAACTATACAAATATCTCCCTGTAGTGCAGTCTTTTTTTACTAGTACATAATCAGCAAGGATTACGAGTAGAGTCAAAATGTACAGGGCTGCTCAATTAATCGTATTTTAATCGCGATTACGATTATGGCTTGCAACGATTACGAAAACAACGTAATCGAAATAAAACCATTATTTTTTTTATTATTACTTTTTTTTTTTTGGGTCAGTTGAATTATACTTAAAGTTCAGGGTAATCAACTGTTAAAAACATACTGTTCACATTTTTTTTTCTCCAAAAAATTGATCTTTTCAAAGTAAATGAATAATCGCATTTAATAATCGCAATTATAATTATTGACCCAAATAATCGAGATTATGATTTTTGCCATAATCGAGCAGCCGTATACAGGACTCGGAATTATCATCACAAAACTAACTGATGAGTGTGCAAAACAAACAGTGAGGAATATTAGACAATGGAGGTTACAGTTACTTTACTCCTTATACCTGACCTTGACTTTGTACACCTTTGTTGCAGAAGTTGGAAGTAGTGGAGTACAAATACTTCGTTACTGTACTTAAGTACATTTTCTTGGTATCAGTACATTACTCCACTACTTTTTACTTTGACTTCTTACACTTTGAACACAAATACCTGTACTTTCTACTTCTTACATGTTGAACACAAATACCTGTACTTTCTACTTCTTACATGTTGAACACAAATGCCTGTACTTTCTACTTCTTACATGTTGAACTCAAATACCTGTACTTTCTACTTCTTACATGTTGAACTCAAATACCTGTACTTTCTACTTCTTACATTTGAACACAAATACCTGTACTTTCTACTTCTCACATGTTGAACACAAATACCTGTACTTTCTACTTCTTACATGTTGAACACAAATACCTGTACTTTCTACTTCTTACATGTTGAACACAAATACCTGTACTTTCTACTTCTTACATGTTGAACACAAATACCTGTACTTTCTACTTCTTACATGTTGAACACAAATACCTGTACTTTCTACTTCTTACATGTTGAACTCAAATACCTGTACTTTCTACTTCTTACATTTGAACACAAATACCTGTACTTTCTACTTCTTACATGTTGAACCCAAATACCTGTACTTTCTACTTCTTACATGTTGAACACAAATACCTGTACTTTCTACTTCTTACATTTGAACTCAAATACCTGTACTTTCTACTTCTCACATGTTGAACACAAATACCTGTACTTTCTACTTCTTACATGTTGAACACAAATACCTGTACTTTCTACTTCTTACATGTTGAACCCAAATACCTGTACTTTCTACTTCTTACATGTTGAACACAAATACCTGTACTTTCTACTTCTTACATGTTGAACTCAAATACCTGTACTTTCTACTTCTTACATGTTGAACCCAAATACCTGTACTTTCTACTTCTTACATGTTGAACACAAATACCTGTACTTTCTACTTCTTACATGTTGAACACAAATACCTGTACTTTCTACTTCTCACATGTTGAACACAAATACCTGTACTTTCTACTTCTTACATGTTGAACACAAATACCTGTACTTTCTACTTCTTACATGTTGAACTCAAATACCTGTACTTTCTACTTCTCACATGTTGAACACAAATACCTGTACTTTCTACTTCTCACATGTTGAACACAAATACCTGTACTTTCTACTTCTTACATGTTGAACACAAATACCTGTACTTTCTACTTCTTACATGTTGAACTCAAATACCTGTACTTTCTACTTCTTACATGTTGAACCCAAATACCTGTACTTTCTACTTCTTACATGTTGAACACAAATACCTGTACTTTCTACTTCTTACATGTTGAACACAAATACCTGTACTTTCTACTTCTTACATGTTGAACACAAATACCTGTACTTTCTACTTCTTACATGTTGAACTCAAATACCTGTACTTTCTACTTCTCACATGTTGAACCCAAATACCTGTACTTTCTACTTCTTACATGTTGAACCCAAATACCTGTACTTTCTACTTCTTATATGTTGAACTCAAATACCTGTACTTTCTACTTCTTACATGTTGAACTCAAATACCTGTACTTTCTACTTCTTACATGTTGAACACAAATACCTGTACTTTCTACTTCTTACATGTTGAACTCAAATACCTGTACTTTCTACTTCTTACATGTTGAACTCAAACACCTGTACTTTCTACTTCTTACATGTTGAACACAAATACCTGTACTTTCTACTTCTTACATGTTGAACTCAAATACCTGTACTTTCTACTTCTTACATGTTGAACTCAAATACCTGTACTTTCTACTTCTTACATGTTGAACACAAATACCTGTACTTTCTACTTCTTACATGTTGAACTCAAATACCTGTACTTTCTACTTCTTACATGTTGAACACAAATACCTGTACTTTCTACTTCTTACATGTTGAACCCAAATACCTGTACTTTCTACTTCTTACATGTTGAACCCAAATACTTGTACTTTCTACTTCTTACATGTTGAACTCAAATACCTGTACTTTCTACTTCTTACATGTTGAACTCAAATACCTGTACTTTCTACTTCTCTCATTTTCCAAACAGCTGGTTCCTTTAGTTTGAATGTGTGTTTGGTGGCGTGATCATTATTATTTAGAGTCATTGCGTGCCTATTGATTTGAACACGATCCGTGTATCCATCATTTCCTGGTCTTCTCTAAAGAAGAGGGACCAATGGAAACGTTGTCATGTTGCCGTTGTTCAGCATGGAAACATTCATTAGCTAACAATGACATTATTGTTCTATTAATATAAAGGGAGGTCAGGTACTCTTTAAAACAGCTGCTAGTTATGGGTACTTTTTACTGAAGTACATTTCGAAGCCCATACTTAGGATAGGATGTGTTTACTTTTGCCATCTTTGTTCAACAGTAGAGTTAATGACACTTCCACACTCAGACAGTCCACTCGTCCACTCACCACTGCCTCCATTCGGCTGCTGTAGAGCTCTGCCTGGCTGATCTGGATGTATCTCTGCCTGGCGTGGTGGGCTGCAGGCAGGCCTCCGTACAGCATGCCGGCCAGGGCACCCACCACCCCGCTCTTTATCACGCTGGTCAGCTCCTCAGGGTACATGTGTTTCGCACTGCAGGGAGACAAGAGATCCACCTCCTTTAACACACAAATCAATGCCAAGTTTACAAATAAATAACCTAAAGAAGTTCTTTATGAACTAAATCGGATCATTCAGAGTGTATTCAACTTAACAAGAGCTTATTGTAGTAGCAGTACCATACTTTAAACAGTTATCAAACTAAAAAACAGCGTGAAAAAAATGGTATCAAGCTGTCCTTCCATATTTTTGTTACAGTGAAATTACATATTTAATGCATTCAATGATTTCACTTTTTTACTACTGTGTGCATAGATTCTCCTATTTGAAAAACAACAGCAACAAATACAATTGTTACAATAACTATGAAGTAATGTCTCTATGATAGTATGAAAGATTCTAGTTCGAATCCACTCGTTCCTAGTGGTCCTTCTCTGTTTGGTCAAGGACGAATTATTGACAGTGTAAATCCTTGTGTATTCTTAATGTACACTCCCTTTGTCCTAAAGGTCACATGTGATGCTAAACGCTTAAATACAAATTATGTAATTGATTTTTGAAACCCCAAATGTGCTAAGCATGCACAAACAACCGGTCATTCCTCACGAATGTTGTCGTGGAGAGAATAAGCTTCAGGAAAGTTTGGTCTGTGTTAATTGAGTAGCAGACATTCTGAATGTGTGTGTCAAAAATAAATACTGTATACCTCAGTGGTGTATGGCTTTTTAGGAATTACACACAAAGGTATTTTTTTATGTCACTTAAGTAAAAGTCATCACATTTCAAGTTAAACAAATATTCTTAGAGATAGCTGTATGACATAGCGGGTCACTTGACTTAAGACAGCACAAAAGATAAGTGAAAGAACAGAAGACAAGTCATGAAGGAACAGAAATACCAACTCCATTTGAAAGAGGTCTTTGATGCGGTCCCATCCCGTGTCTGTTAATTCTGGCCTGCGCATGTTGCTCCACATGGCGCTGGGAGAGGGGATGGGTGGAGGACTGGTTGAAGAGGAGGAGGAAGAGGGCATCTGTGCGGGCTGGGCAGCAGCCACATCAGCTGCATGGACCCTGGGGAGCAGGGAGCAGAAGGGAGGAGGCCTGGCGCTCTGGAGGAGGCCCTGCAGTAGGCCGGTGCTCCACGTGCCCCCGGAGGGTGAATCTGCCCGTCTCTGTGGGGCGGGGCCCGGTCTGGGCTGCTCTGGATACATCACGCTTCAGCTGGCAGAGAGGGAGAAACACACGGCCGTGGGTTGGGATGTTGCACTCTGTCTCCATCTAAATAAACAGCCTGAGGGCAAATGTAATCCTGTCAGGGCACACAGGCTGTCCAACTCAGCAGCTGTTAAATGGTCCTCTCAAAACACACTGGGCTCACAAGCAGCCTTTCTGGGAAAGCGTTTCTTTATGGACTTTAAAATGATGTTTCGTGCACTGCTGCGACCCTCAGGTCCTCTGAGCAGGGTGGGCTGGTCCAGGTTCAAACATTACTAAAAAGGTTGCTGTATATATTAACAACAGAAGTGCCAGAAAATGCCATATGACTCATAATATTTGTCTTTTGGTCTTGTAGTCCAGTAAAAGTAGAAATACGACAGAATAAAAAGACATGCATTAAAATAATATGTATGAGTACTTAAACGTATAGTAGCAAAAGTAATAGTTATGCTTCATGCGATATAGGATGTTCAACTTAATGCTGCAGCTAGTAAAGGTGGAGCCAATATATATATATATATATATATATATATATATATATATATATTGCCAGTTAGCTCAAAAAAACATTGTGATTTTAATTTAGTTTTAATAATCTAAATCTGCTAAATAACTAAAGCTTTCAAATCCAAGCAGTAGAGTAAAAAGTGCCTCTGGTTACATTCCAGGACGCACATGTGAATTACTGTTAGCTTTTGTTATACATCCTTTTAAATAATATACTTGTCTAGGTTTATTTTTTTTCTATATGTCTGTGTCATTTTATAAAATACATTTCTAACTGGCTAAATATTCCAAAAGGTTAATACAAAATGTAAGCAGTCAAACTGTCCGATAAAGGGAGCTTCACTATGGTCAACACTTAGCATGCTATTAGCATCTGTAATATTTGTGATATAAATGAAGCATCTTACCAGAAAGCAGCACAGAAATGATCACTCAAAAGGCGTTTGTTTTAAGTAACCAACCCGTAGTTATGGTAAACGAACTCCAGATAGTTTACACATTTCTGTTTTTAATCATTTAACCTCCTGTCGGATGCTTCAAAACGGTGACTTTCCCATAACCTGCCGGTGTTCCGACCTTTGACCTCGGAGTCCACAGCGACACAAACCACAGCGCCCCCTGCGGTGGATGAGTGAACAACAGGCTGCATGTGGAAAGCTACTACACGGTCTTAGATCACATGAAAAAAACATTTTTAATATTAGTCAAAGTCAGGACATTTAAAAAAACAAAGATTTAACACTGTATTCATATCATGACTTCAACATCAATTTCGTTTTTTTTAAAAATACTGCAAATGTGTGCATATCTCAGATGTTCTACTTTCTATGAGTTAATATACCAATTGATTGCTGTTGCAGTTTCTGAGATACACACATTTTATAACACACACTGTATTAGTTTCTGTGTATATGGGACTATTGCTTTTCCTATAATACATAGTAAACAGTAGTTCCATGTGCCCATGTATGATAAGAAAAACTCTTTAAAGCTGGTTTGACCCATTTTTAAATGTCAAAATTAGAGTTGCAGGCAGAAATGGTTTAGGAACTAAACTGTTTATTGGCATAAAAACAAAAATCCTGCACCTCACACTTAAACCGGATACCTCTTCACTTCTTTCTGGTCGCATCTACTGTACATACTGTGATAGTGATCTTCACTTTAATAGTGTCAAAAATAACCTTACATGGGTGAGAATCAGCTGTTATGCATTACAATGTAAATATTACAACATATTCAACATGATCCTGCATCAACTACACACCGTCTATCATCTCTTAACACACATTCTTTTCAAAAGGAAAAAACAATTAATGTTTATTGGAAACTCCACAGATCAAAATATATTCATTATTGCTTACTGCTGGCACTTGGAATGAAATGTTGAAGGAAAAAAAATCTAAGCATAATTGTTCAACAAGTAAAAGTACATGTTCTAATGCCACTTGGTAAAGGGATGCTGTAGTTACCCAAGATGTCCAGTAGAGGAGAGTGTAACAAATAGATTTGTGACCATTACATTACTATTAACAGGGATTAAATATGGAATTTTAGCTCATGGTTCTCAGTGTTTCCCATATTATTCAACATACTAGAACAAATACAAAAAAAACAGTTCTTTATGGGGCTTAATCCTCCCACTGGTAGACTGCATTAGATATGTAACAGCATGGCATGTGTAACTATTATTATTATCTTTATCGGTACAACTTTTGTAGATATTTAAGCAGCAGACAAAAGTGACATAAAGAAATTAAAACCAAAGAATTCTGATATCCAAGACGATGATTATAATTCAATTAAAAGTCCCATTTTACAGCGGCTTTTGGAAAGTGGTTTGATGTGATGTGAAATCTGGGACCTACGTGTTGCGGTGTGTGATTACATTCATGTTTGAGAGTCCTTCACTGCAGAGCCTCTCATAGCTCCGTCCTGCCCGCTCTGTGCACGATCTGGTTGTAGTTGCTATTTAGTTTTGGTTTGTAGGTGAGTAGACTGCTGAAATCAGTGAGGAGTCTCTCCCAGTAGCAGGAAACGTCTTTCATCCGCAGGTGCTCCAGGATGAACTCCTTACCCCTGTGAGGAAACACACAACTGCAGTCAGTTCGCCGTTATCTCACTTTCAGTTCAAACACAAATGTTAAAATATGTGACCTTGAGGCGATCTCCTGTGCAATGTCATCGTTCTCTTTGACAAACTGTAGCAGTTCCCTGAGGAGAGAGAACATGTAAAAGACATATCAACGTTGAGCGTGCATACAAAGGAGATTCACACCTTCATATATGAGAATTCACACCCTGAGAACATTAAAACAAAATGCCTTTTGTGCCAAATACATTCATTCAAGTACCGACCTGCACATTTATGATCTTCATTAATCAGTCACACGTCTGGGACTATCAGGTTTTCCGACTGTAACACCTTCACATGTGTAAATATATAGCGCTGACATACATCAATCTTGTATCACAGATTACAGGCTTTTTAAATATTACAAAAGAACCACAAAATATGATTGGGGAAGCAGCTTTTATCCATTACACTGCCAAACATTTTAGAGACCTATTTGAATGACAACTGAAAACATATATTTTCTTTAAACTCAGCCTGCAATATTCCACTTCTACTGCTCTTTTTAAAAATGTTTTTATGTAATGTATTTATAAATGGTGTCTTATTGTTGTCCTACTCTTTACCGAGAAGGTTATCTGTTGTTAACTTTCTGATTTTTACTTCACCAGTGAGGTGTTTGTGATTTTGTTGTTTATGGTGTTGAACAAAACCTGAAAGTCCCTTCAGCGTGTGTCAAACACAGACCTTGGGTGTTTCTCAATGTCAAGGACGCTTCCTTGGTAGGACATGTCTTCCGAGTCACTTCCTTCAGAAGCGAGGCAAGAATCCTTCCTAGCCACGGAAAACGAATAATGGTGGAACAGGCTAACAGGTGTGCGTCATATGCGAGGCCCCGCCTTAAATGGAGCACGATTTCCGCCAAAGATTGGAAATTGGTCCGTGCGCAAAGCATTGTGGGGATTTTAAGACCGCGGAGGATACACATGTGCAGCCTCGAAATGTCTCGCTACGAAGGACGCCGGGCTCGGTAGAATTCCAAGTATGCTGGACATTGGAACAGTCCTTCGGCGGGACTCGATGACGTAGCATCCTTGAAATAGTGGCTCTGGAGCATCCTTCCTTGACATTGAGAAACACCCCTTATTTCCGACATCTGACCACAAAGTTATCAACAAGGAAATGTCCGGCAATATACCTGACATCCGATAGGTCCTGCTGCACGGGGATGTAATGGACCCAGGGCCGCAGCTGAGGGTAGAAGAACTCCTGCCATTCATCCCCAACATGGAACACCAGAGCCCCGCAGAGGAAGAGGTGTTTGAAGCGGAAGCTGGCCGCCACGCCTCGGAAGTTGAATAAATATCTGCAGGCGGATAGACAAAGACAGGGGAGATGGTTGAGATAGCCCACAGATCAAATTAGCATTATTTTTGCAGACCGTCAGTAAATCTTAAAACGTCCGTCATTCAAAATCCTGCTCACTTGTATTTGCAGTGATCGACCAGGGGGATTTCTTTGGCAGGGGGTCTCCCCAGTGTGTCCTAACACAGAGAGGAAAACACAGGTTAGTAAATAATTATCACAGACTTTCAGATTTCACTTTTGATTAAATATAAAAGTAAAGAATAAAGGGTCCTGAAGCTTTTAATCTCAACCATCGTTACACAGGAAGGGTCAAAATAAGGGAGATATTTGATATTATATTTTATAATCTGGCTCTTAAATTAATTCACATTTTTGAAAATTAACCGTAAGCGCTTTCACATAGTAGAGTATACTTATTATTTCACTATTAAATTAGATCTGTTGGTGCTATAATAACCCAAATGATGTTTGGTTACAGAAGAGTTACTAATTCAAATAATCATGTCATTCTTTATAACCTACATTTTGAGCACTTGATTCCAAATCCAAGAACAATTGGAAACACCACATCAACAATCCTAATGTTTTCAAGGATTTCCAGCACCCATAGGTTCCCTGCGTTATGTGTGTATGGACCTATGGTATGGACCCAGGTGTGTTTACTGTTTACTGACCCTTTCAGACTTCCAGGCCTGGTTCTTGGTGTACTCTGCGTCCACCAGCTCTGGAGCCTCTCTGGAGAGGAGGATCAGAGGGTCGCGCTCTGCACTGGTTCTATCAAAGTCAAAGAAATATACAGAAGAGAATGACTTTAGAGGAGGTGGGGACTGCCAACTGTGGTAAGAAGATAGTTGAGTAAAGGGTTTTTGAGTGACATTAAAACATTTGGTATCTTGTTCGAGTCTCAAGACTGACCTGGAGCCTCTGAAGAATCCTCTGGACTCTTTCTGATTCCACGGCCACTGAGCTGCAGACCTAGCACAACACATCACATGGTTAAAGCACACTGAAGTGATACTGTGCTCCAAACTATTGTTATTTAGGCGTTCCATTTATCAATTTCTTGAATTATGCCATTACAAATGTTTTTTAGACATCTCATTAAGTGGATCAAACTGCAACAATCGTTAGACTAGTATTATTTTGATGTTAAAACCTAAAGAGGAGAGCAAATAAGATGCTAAATATTACTTTTTAAGGTCGTCCCTCATCAGGTCCCATCGCCCCAGTCCAGTGGGGTATATGGGCCACACGGCAGGCCCCCCCTCCCAAAATGTCCACGCAGGGTACATGATGTCCTGGTAGTCTGCCGTCTACACAAATCAAACATATCAAATACCAGTAATTGTATTTAATAAACTTTGTGTGTGTGTGTGTTTTCACATGTAAATGAAGCTACTGTCTGACCTTACTGAAAGAGAAGACAGGCAGGGTGGGCTTCACCCAGCTGGGGACTTGTGGGTAATCTCTGACATTCACCACCATCTCCAGGTCAGGTAACCTGTCAATCACCTCCAGGATGAAATGCTCCACCCCACTGCACCTGGAAAGAGAACAGATGTATAGAGACTGATCTTTTAGTCAGCTTACACTTAGAGGGCAAAGTGTTCCTTCCCCCACAGAGTCCAATAGAAATGTGAAATGTCTCTCCTCACCTGGCAGGAAACATGCAGTTTCGTTCTCTGTACAGCTTGTGTCCGATGATCTGGTAGTGTGTGCCCACGCCTCTCTGAACAGTCGCAGCCATGACATCCTCGGAGATGAATCCTTTAAAAGGCTGCAGATCACCTTGAAGGACGCTGAAAACCGACATTAAAAAATCATCAAATCCACATTTCGTAATACAAAAAATTCAACTGGCACAGTAGTGATTCAACCATATGTACTAGAAAAGCAAGCACACATTGTCCTCTCACTCACCTCAGATGGCAGCTGCAGTTGACAGGATTGCAGGGAGTGTGTTCTTTCACAGCATCAGAAATTCTGTCTCTAATGTTCTTCCACGGTTGGCCTGAAATAAATGCAAATTATGTCAGAATATAAATTCATATTGGATTAAGATTCCTAGCGTTTACCGCTTCCAAGGCTGATTCATCCCATCATGTGAGAGAGAGCTTATTGCGTCAGTATCCCCCATGACCCTGTCCCAAACAAGACCAGAGATACAACTATGAACAAGTCAGGTCACTTAAAGTATATTAAAACGCCAATAAATGGCATTACTAGTGGAATCCTGAAGCTGATGAAATGCAATTCTGAGAGGAAACAGTTACAGGATAAAAGGAGCCAGCCTCTTTGCTAGCAATAAATATTAAAATGCATACACATACTAATACATAAATAAATAAATAAGGAATCATCTTTTTCAGGGGAAATTCTTTCTAGGAGTAAATTGACATTCATAAAGCCCAGTTTATATTCCTGTAAAGACAGGACTTAATAATAATAATAATAGAAAATAATACTTTTATTTGCCTTATTTGAAAATAATACTTTTATTTGCCTCAATGTTAAGTTTTGTGTTGTCACATGTTAGCAGTGTTTATTTTTACATGAGTAAATACAGACTATGCTTGTGGGTCAGCCTGGACTTCGTTTTACCTTAAAAAATAGCCGAAAAATATCTTGAATTGTGCATTGTTTTATTTCCTGTTCCACACATTATATCAAGACAGCATAAACGTTACTGTTTTAGTTTGTCTGAGTAAACAGAGTGCAGAAAGCCAGAACATTTGTTAGAGCTAACTACCCTTAGCTGACCTGTTGCCAAAAAACGAAAACGTCTTAATTAATGTAACCATTTAATTAATACGAATCTTATTTTAAAATGTCAATGGAGGCACAACTTTTAACCAGAGCTAATGCAACCCTTAAAGTGAACACAGTTAGCTTAGTGGAGTTAGCTCACAGGCTAGTCAGCTAGCTCGTGAAGTGATGAATGACTTCCAACATCAAAAGTTATCTCAAGTAGGTACAGCGAAACTAAATGCACTCAAGTCGTACAGCCACTTTCTAAAAAAAGGTTTAATGAGTCGTATTTTTTAAAACATGTATTACCTGAGGCAGGAAACAAACATAAAAGACAAAGTTGCAACAGTATTAAAACCCTCCACAGCCAAAAGCGCTCCATTTCTCTCTCTATCCTCCAGCTATGTCTGAGAGGAGCAACAAAGCGCTGATCTGTGATCTACTACTCTGGGCTGGATGCAGTCGGTACGGTAAAGCGCACTTCGAAATTCATTTAAAGGTTACACTACCGTAACGTTTAGAAGACTTGCTTACTTTTTCATTAAAGGAATACTGCTCACACAATCTCTCTTTGCATATACACATTCTGCCTGTCTGATAAA